TCTCATATATGCGCTAATATACCTCATATCATATCCAGGTCGATTATTAACGGGTTTAGGTACAACCTTATTAAATTCCTTATCTAAAATGATATTGACGCCGAATCCTGACATAATTATTAATATTATATAGCAAGCTACTGATTTATAGTGAATTTAACGATTTATAGTACTTTTAATGCTTTATAGCGATTTTATTGGTTTGTAGCCAATTTAGTGATACTACACACTACTAAACCAAATTCATTTTTATTCGATTGTTCGGGTTAAAACTGATTCGGTTAAATTAGACCCGATCACTATGGACGGCTAAACTATGCACAGCGTCTTCGGCTAAAATTTGTATCACATGAGTTCCCTGCCAGTTCCTCGATAGTTCTAGGAGAGTTCCAGGAGCTGGCGAGTTTCTATGCACAGCGCCTTCGGCTAAATCACGAGATGATCGGCCAATCCGATTCTGTATAGCTAAAAAAGAAACGTCATAACTCAGCCGTGAGGCGCTTTGCTTGGCGCAGTGTTTATTTTTAATTGCCGAGGTGGAACATCATGTCACCAGGGCGCAGTATTATGATCCCAAAGGTATTTAGCAGTGATCGTTAACGCATGTAGAGTAAATAATACATTGGTTAAAAATTGCTAGCCCGATATGGGCAAATCTTTTATAAAATGCTTTATTAATATATATTTGAAACACTATTTTTCTTAGTTGCCGAGGCGGGACACATGTCACCAGGGCGCAGTAAAATATGGCGCAGTATTACGATCCTTCTAAAACTTCATAATCGGTATCATCTACAGTAAGATTCAGGATGAAACCCGGAGGGATAGATTTTACCCGTGCTATTTTTTCTTTGCCTATAGCCCGCAAGTGATAAGCTAATATGTGTGAGATGTCAAAAGAAATAACTTATATTTCCCGAAATCTTGATTATCATATGATGCGTATATCACATAAAAAGAAGGAATGATGGCAAATTTTATTATCAAGCTAAAGAATTAAATTTATTAATTGTTGCACTATTATAATTATTTATTAACAACACAGCACCAACTGTAGATAAATCATCTTCTCTGCATTACGGTATATGCGGTCAAAGGTAAAAGTCGTTTACGCGCACGTACGTCTGCAATTAATATTTCACATGATGAAGGATCGTTTTTATTGAAGCTCGCAAAAAATATTCTCAATAGGACAAGAGCTCCCATTCCGCCAAAGATTAAATTAATGGATCAGAACTCGGAGATCCAGGGCACGGTGATGATGGGTATGGTCGTTTATCGTTCATTTTGGCACACATTTTTATTTTTTTCGGAGTCGATAAACATGCAGGCATCTGGTGGTGATCTTCTCGAGGTCGCTTTCGGTACCCTGCACCCTTAAATGATGATTTGACAGCCTGTCTTTTTGTTTGAGCCATCTCTATTGTCATTCGGACTGCAGACTAACATTAACAAATACATCATCAGCTTTGTAAGTCAAAACATATATAGAACAAAAAACATACAACTAACCTTTGCAGTTAGGATAGATGCCAATATTGTCAAGATTGAATCAAATTTTTCCGCCGTATCTGGTACTTCCATAAGGTCGCCACGACGAAACCTGCAGACATATCCTTTCGGATTGTCGGCATATACCAATGACATCATAAGACCTAAGTTATTGGTCAGCGATGAGCACCTTATAGATTCTTGCAAAAATCAAGTTTAGAGACATACCTTCGTGTATAATTCCGACGGTCTGGATATTTTTGCGCACATCTTTGTCCCAATTTACCCTTTCCATTAAATTCATTAACATATCTTTCAGCGTTTTGGGAAGTTTTAAGCCAATTTCCTTGAGATACTTTGTCCCATATTCATCCGTCCAATCCTTGCCCGCCTCCCCCGCCCCAAATTCATCTTTGTTACCGTTGCCTACAGTTCTGAGTATCCAATCCCCTCTACGTCCAATTTTCCGACGTTCCCCTGGTTTCCTTTTAGCTTTTTTATTTTTACGCGTTGCTGTCGACACACTCGTACTTTCCCCCCTTGATTGCAAAAAAATCTAGTCAGATCAAAAGAATAGCGCTACTTTTTAAAGGTAAAGAATTACCTGACAACAGCCACTGCCTGTACATCTCCAAACGCTTGGTCGAATATTATATTCCATACATGACAGTTATACCAGTTTTCTAGGTTTGCGTTCTTGAGATTACCGTTTTCTATTTCCCTCACCCTGTCAATTCACGATTAGTAAGCTTCACAAAAACTCTGACGAGGTCCATATATACTGTATGTGTGCAGACGGTCTCACGGTCACAAGGACAAAATAAAAACGACTACTTACAGTGAATATAAAGCAAGACATATGTAGTCTACGTCATGATGCTTCTCACGGTTGTAATTATTACCGAACATCGATTCTTTTATTATCTGTCGGATTTCGTTTAAGTTTGTCTACAATAGCAGAGAAAAGACCTTGGTGACTTATTACTATATATATATATATTCGCTAGTAACGTGTAATTGAAATATTTATTACCTTTCCAAGGAATTTAGTCAAAAAATCGTCAACTTCATCCGAAATATCAGGTACCTCCAGAATAGTTGTGCCTTCTATCTCCTCGAGTTCTTTCTCAGTGAAATGTTCCATGATTAGCTCGTCTCCAACATCAAGGATGAAGGAATGAATGGCACTATGTGAACAAAATTGCAACTTATTAAATTTATTACGATAATCCCTATGAACATAATCTCATATGCATGAATACTTACTGTTCAAACTCCAAATTTTTTCCGAGTTTAAGCAACTCTTCTTCGACAAACCTCCCTGATGAAAGCTTCCACATATAACTTTTGTCCATTGCCCTATAAGATTCCGCAAACTCCATTCGATTTTGTTCGCGCATTATAAATGGTCCTTTCTAATGGAAAAAGCATAAGTCCTTGTTATTATTCATAAGAAAGTGCTAAAACTTCCCAATGAAGATATACTTTGTTTTCCTTCGCCTCTTCTACTTTATCATTGGTCGCATCCCTCACCTCTTGATCGTCAATAGCATCCTTCAAGAGTAGATGGTGGTGAGAATAATAAACATTTGCAGGAATAACATCTGCCAGATATAATTTACCTCATGATCCGGTGTATCCAAATCCGAATCGGCATTATCTTGTAATTCACAAGCGGTCTAAAAAAAAGATTTTCACAATTAGCAATAATTCGGTTTCGATCTGAATAGTAATGATTGAGCATAATGTGAATATTACCTCGCTCTCTTCAATGTCCGCTTCGTTGTACTCATTCGGCTTCTGCCGTTTCTCAATCAGATTGGTTGAATTTTTTCCGGACGGACCTCGAAAGAAATTATCGATTTCGTCACTTTCTTCATTATCATCCTAAGACATTAAGATATAAATAATTAGCTCTATTGATCCTCCACTTCTAGACAAAAATGCAGGTACATGCCTTTTTCTGATTGCTCCTCTTTGAGACAGTTTCCTTGGGTAATCCATTATAAAAAGTTCCGTCATTGATTGTTCCGTTATTTATCGTATTACCACTGATCTCAGGTTGGTAGATGTGGAACCGGTGCGAACGACTATTCCATTCTCTTGCCTTCTTAAAATCCGGTGGATTATCCTGTCACGAAAGATTTTTATGATTATTAAAATTATTTGTCGACTACCATATCAGTCTGTATAATTTCCCATCCCATCTGGTCAGCGAAAGGCTTTAACAACAGACAACCGAGTGAGTCACCTGTGCCCACCCAAGGCTTTAAACAACAGACAACCGAGAGGGTCGTCTGTGTCCCAGTGGGACCAATGTTGGATCGGGCGGATGGCCCTTGAACATCAGACAACCGAGCGAGTCATCTGTGCTCCAACATGGTTCTGTGGACTCGGCGAGTAGCCTTGAACAACAAGAACCGAGCGGGTCCTTGCCATGCCACTATTCTTCAAGTCTATATTTCTAACAAACAATTTTTACTTGCCTTCGAGTTAGGGTTAGGTTTTCTGTACCTCGTGAGAAGAAACTCTGCTTTTGCTTTTCGTTTCCCTTGCTCAAGATTCGCAATTGTATCGAGACTTCTGATATATTGATCTATCATTTTTTGAAAATCCTCTTCACCACATTCCTCCAGAAAATCAGTAATGTTCCATTCCGTTGATTTACGTTCGAAGTATTTATGGATTTCGTTGGGCATGGTATCAATATATTGAAGTTTTTTTCGTTGAATAGATTATCAATATTACACGCTTGGACAATGATCAGTGACGAAATCGTATGGTTATACGTTATCAGTATAAATCACATGATATGATAATGTGATGCCACTATCCTGATTAGTTTGCGATTGCGAAACTTTATTGATTTTTCAGAGTTTGCGAGAGAATTGAAATGTACGATATGATGCTATCAAAGAGGGAGGGAGTACGCGGATCCTAGGCCATTGAATGCGAGTCCCAGCATCAAGTTATTTCTTTACTCTCTTACATTTATGAAAAGTATAACTAATTTGTTTATACTTTTATTGCTAATTACGTGATTCTCACTCACACTCTTTTACTATACTAGATTTCCGAAATAAATTATCCCACCCATATTTACAAAATTTTTGTCTATCTATATCTCTCCCAAACATAAAATAATATTCCCCGCAAAAAAACTTCTTCGAGATTAAGTAATTTCGAAACTACAGTATAAATTCGGGGGATTAGCAACTGAGTTAAAAAATAATATAAGACAACATTACCGATTTACACTTACCATCACGATTCATTTTCACATAATTCCATTCCGCCTCATATATAAGAAATTTATTGCTTAATTTTTTCCGCGTTATCGCCAATACGATACTACGCAAAGTTTCAAGAATTCAGATGCTTGTGCCATTGCACCAGACTTTTGCTGTGCCGTTGCATGTGACGAGATTCATGTGAGTAATTTCACTGCGTCTATTGTACGCATGATGATGGTCAAAGATTTTCTTGGTAAATATCAAAATGCCGAGAAGAGCAACATGACCGAAATTTTCATGGACATCTGTAGAGTTGGAAAAATCGATTAGCACCGTGATGACGTTTTCCTAGAATTAAATTTAACATACCTTTCTCTTATTCTTTAGGAAATAAATTGATTATGGTAAGCTTGTATTTTGTTTGATTTCTTTTTGCATTACTTGCACAAGGCGGATAAAAGGATTCACTAATCAAGGCTTCACCTTTTATATGATTCCTAAGGATCGATTTTTGGAATAAATCTTTGGGGAAATTACGTTATTATGATTCATTACGAAAATCAGATCAACGGATACACCTTAAAATTATAATAGACACTGGGATCGTATCCCTTGAATCAACAAGGGGTCTTTTTTTTATTAATACATGCAAAATCTTGAGTATATGCGGGAAGTTTCGAGAATAAATTATAGACTTGTTCCTGTGGTACATGGTGATGATACTGCGCATTTATCGAAATTTTTGGGTCTGGATCTCCGAATGAAAAACTGAGAAATATTAGCATACAAACACAATCCCACGACACATACCAGATATTGACATGTAAATATATTGTGCTTAATGCACCTTTGCTTTATTGATTGTAAATAAAAAAATACATATTTTTGTTCATACTGCAGAATAATATCTTGACTATCGACCCGCAGTTACCAATGCTTTTTTTCGTAATAATGCCATGATCGCGAACTTGAATTTATTGCTTGAACTGTTGCAGGTAAGACAATATTCCAACTTTTCTTGGGAATACAACTTCGCAAATTCAGGATCATAAGGGAGCTGATTCCCATTTTCGCAGTACCATGAGCCATGTAATCCATAATTCCTATGTTTTCCATCACAAATAGGGCACGGTGAACTCCACGGCTGAGGTGATGCAAAATCATAATTATCAATCCCTCTGAAACTATTTCCGAATTTCAAGTATGGGAAGTGCTCTAAGACGGATTTGATAATTAATTCTGGATTAGATCTGGCTTCGAAAGTGATGGGCCCTTTTTCTTCACATGGCTCAGGAAAAGATAAATATGATATTTTGTTTCCTGGCTTCGAATTTATGAGAAGGTGACCTTCTGATAATTGCCATGGCTCAAGTCCCATTTCTCTTTTATATTTTTTGTATAAGTTGGAATGAATCTTATCCGTCAAAGTGCTTGGTAACCCACTTAATTTGGCATGCCAATCCAGATACTCGGGAGTTAATCTTTTATCAGACTTACTCATGTTGCTTTTTTATGATTGCAAATCAATTTAATTAGGTAATAGTCAACATAAATTAGCCCTATAAAAAAAGTAAAAAATATCACACAGTGAAGTGTGAGCAAATGTAGTATTATAAAATAATGAGACTATGCAGTTATCTCAATTTCACGCTGTTCACATTTAATAAAGTAAGATCCAGATTTATACCTATCTTCTATACTTTCTTCATCATTATGATCTAACTTGCATAATGGGCATGATGTCTCATCAGTAATGCCATAATAATCGAAATTTTCGCTACTAAATTCTCTATATAAAGCAGGATATTGATCTAATGTCTTGTTGCGAAAATAGGAGCGGTTATAAGTTGGATTAGTCCTAGGAATAGGTGGTTGAGATGCAGGTGAAATGTTCACTCCAGACTTTGAAGTATTAGTATGAGACAATTCAGAATTTTTCTTATCACTTCCTGAACTGAGATTAGAATGTGACAATTCAGAATTTTTTTCATCACTTAGCAAAGTGTCTTTCAGCTGAGCACAGGTGGGTGATTCTATCTTAATGCTGTAATCAACTGACATATTATCTATGATATACTGAATGTCTTCATATGTCATTTTTGAAATACTACTAACAGAGAATGAATGTATCTGATAAATTTTATCCATGTCTATTGCATTAAAAAGCTTCCAGAGTTTCTTGGTCTGCTCAATTTTTTTCATAAAAGTGCATCAAAAGTATCTGCAGGGAGCTGAGCTCTAACTTCCATATTTAAAATTCTACTGACAGTATTGGATTCCAGATCAACTTGTTTTTCAGATGCTATTTCACTTCGTCTCTGGATAAGAGCTTTTCCAAATTGACAGTAACATATAATAGCTTTTTGGACCGCACGATCAGCAAAGTCCTCAGCATCGAGAAGTTTTTTATACAAAAGAGAAATGGTTGTCCCCATTTCTACTGCTGAGGAATCACAGCTTCGTACTGATTGCTCTAGGCAAACATTCAAAGAATTCGAGCTTGGCTCATCCATAGTATTAGAACATTTGGTGCTTGAATCCTCAGACACTTCCTGAATGAATTTTTTTCTTTGTTCTTTCTTGCGAAGTGTCTTTTTGTTAATAGATACTTGTTTACCTTTTTCAGGAGAGATGGGTTCCACTTTTGCAAGCTTCTCATCCCGCTTTCTCTGCCTTATCCCATCACTAACAATTTTCTTATTCACTTTATTCAGAAAAGAGACCATCATCTCTTCCTCTGATGGCTTGATGTTTGCGTTATCACTAGGTGATCCATTTATGGGCCAGTCTATTACAGGATCAGGTATATCATTCAAAGCTAAGTGCCTCTTAGGCTCAGCATCTGGCTGTGGTACAACTGTTACTGAAGATATATCTTCTTCTCCAACAGAGCATGAGTTCTGCACATTAGTAACATGTTGGGATTATTGAGGCCTAGTGAGGTTGGAGGAATCGAAATCATGTCTCAATTTGGCTAATTCAGCTTTAAGCTCAGCATTTTTGGCTGAAATATCTGCACTATTTTTCTCCAATTTCTCAATTCTAACCTTATGTTCGGCACTTTCAGCTTCACGTTTGCTATTCTCCTCAATAATCTGTCTCAACTTCATATTCTCAGCCTCAAGCACAGTGATACACTGTCTCAATAATTCAAGCTCAGATGATATGATCGATAATATTCTTATAGAAGATATGAAATATTCAAAAGTCCGTCAGTATATATACATGCTATTTTTAAATTTGCGTGATGGGAAACTTACTTCCCATTATGAAAATTGCCAAGAAAAATTTTTTATTATTATATGCGAAAAAATAAATACAAGTTTGGGACTGCCCTGTAATACATATTATTTTTAATAAACTTTTTGATCCTAACCCTCTTGCTAGCCGGAGAACTATTTACACTAACACAATCCTTCAGCAACCCAACAATAATACCAATTATCCTTTTTACATTGCTTTGTAGTAATTCAGGATTATCTTTAACTGCGGACTTTGTAAGATTAATCTGATGCTCGCTACCGC